CCACTTCCTGCCCACCTGGTCTCCTCCTTAACCCCAAGCAAGCCTAATCTATTCTCCATTTCAACAATTTTGTCATTTTCAGAATGTTATACAAAGGGAATCAAACCGTATGTAACCTTTTGGGAGCGGCATTTTGCACTCAGCGTACGTCTCTGGAGAGTCCCGCAGGTTGCTGAATGTATCAGTAATTCATTCCTTTTTACGCCTGAGTAGGGTTCCGTGCTATGGACAGACCTCCTTTGTTTAACCATTTACTCAGTGAAGGACATCTGGGCTGTTTCCAGTTTGTGGCTATTATGAATAAAACTGCTCTGAATATTCACGTATAGGTTCTTCTGTCAACGTAAATTTTCATTTCTATGGATAAATACCCTGAGAGCAAATGCCAGGTCATCTGGCAGCTGCATGTTTAGTTTTTTAAGAAACTGCCAAATTGTTTTCCAGAGTGGCTGTACATTTTACATTCCCATCAGCCACACACGAGTGATCCGTCGCATCCTCGCCAGCATTCCGCGTTCTCACTAATTTCTTTACTTTAGTCATTCTGAGAGGCGTGTAGTGACATCTCATCGTGGTTTTAATTTGCATTTCCCTAATAGCTAGTGTGTGGAACATCTTTTCATGGGCTTATGTGCCATCTGTAGATCTTCTTCAGTGAAATGTCTCTTCGTGTCTTTTGCTCACGTTGTAACTGGACTTTTTGTGGTTTTTTTACTATTTAGTTTTGAAAGTTCTTTATTTATTCTAGATAAAAGACCTCTGGCAGATCTGTAGTTTGCAAATTTCTTCTTCCAGTCTGTAGCATGTCTTTTAATCCTCTTAACAGGGTCTTCTGCAGAGCAAAAGTTTTTAAATTTTATGAAGTCCAGTTTATCAGTTTTTCCTTTTTTTTTTTTTTTTTTTTTTCTAAAAACTATCCCTAGCCCTAGGTCCTGAACACTTTCCTCTTTTTTTGCTCAGGAAGATTGGCACTTTTATATTTTACCTTTAAGTCCACGGTCCACTTTGAGTTACTTTTTGTATGAGGTTTAGGACGATGTTCACTTTTTCTCTCTGGGTGTCCAATG